GCCTTAAAAATAACAGCCGAACGGAGGAACCTTAGCAGGCAGCACTTTATAAAAACAGTCGATTCAGACATGACTGGGTTCCTTCCTGCCTCAGAATACTGTATGAGTAGGTAGTGTTTATTACGTTTCCGACACAGCCTTTGCCTTGACGCAGAAAAGGAAAGGCATGGATTCTGATTTCTCTACAGAAACAAGGTTGTGATGGTTCATAAAGGAGGATGTGCTAACATATGACATCAAGGCTAACCTACCATGAGAAGTGCAGAACCCTATTTTTCACAGAGAGGAATACACATTCTTGTGCAAGTCACATGCAAATCTCAGGATTTAACCCTCAAGTCTCAAGTTACGCTGCTCAAGACCAAGCAAGTTAAGTCAAGTTCCACACAATCAAGCAAGGGCTGAAGATCAGGATCAAGCTGTTCATTTAGGCAAACATTAGTAATACTTTGTGTTGAATCTGAGTAATCTGTCATGTGAAACTACCTTATTAGTCAGATTAATTGCTTTTTAATGCCTTCTTGGTATCAGTGTGGTGCATATAATAATTAGCTCATCTCAAGTATAATCTAATGTGCAAATAAGTCACTGCCATTCATTCCAGTTCAAACAGAAACTTAACTGTTCGTTGTCCATGATTGCTCTATGGTATTCTTTTCTCGCCAAACAAAGGGAAAAGTGTTTTTTGGAACTTAAACATTTGCAGTTAATTGTCAAAATTAAAAAAGTGTTGTTTTTTTTTCAGTAAAATACATGCACAATAAAAACAGAGTTCTTTGGCTTTGTTTATGATTGTGAAAGCAGAGCAAACTCCATTAATATACAACTAAAAAAACTCCATATTCATTCCTGAGCATGTCTGGCTGTAAAATGAATGGATTAGCTCAAAAAGATACTGATATCTTGCTTGCAGAAGACAAAAAGGGAAAAGGCAAGTAAAGGCCAATATACAGGCACATGCAAAAGTGCAAACAGCTCCGGTCAAATGATGTTTTGTTGATTTTATTAAATAAGTTAAAGTCCTCTACAGTGAACAAACTTAGTGGCATAACTTTTGCACAGGCAGCACAGCATTTAATGTTTTACCCCTTCCCCAATATGTTACATTCGGTAAATAAACAAAACCGAGTATTAAAATGTGCTAAAGTGTGCTATCTGTAGATGTATACTTTTCTTTTGTACTTAATTTAATCTGACCAGGAGCACCCAAGCGTCTGCAAAAGACATTTGTATACAGCAAATCTCACAATGCGTAGACATATGGAACAAAACTGCTGTCCATATAAACTTAGCTGGTTAAATAATACACTTAATGACATTCTGTCGGTGCTTTTGAAGCTTTTCAAGACACTGGTTAAGTTCCAGGTCATTAGGTCTATATTACGTGCGTTTTTTATGTAGTAATGGGATTTAAAGTCTGTCTTGTAACATATGCTGTTATCTGCATGCTGAAGAGCTAATCTGTCAATTTTCATTTGCCTGCAGTCTTGCAAAGTCAACCCCGCAAATATAATTCTGATAACTAATCATTTCATTTTTTATTGCAAGAGCAACAGCAAATACAGTTAATGAATGGGTAGCCTGTGGTCGCTGTGATAACCAGCTCTCAAAATTAATTTCTGGCTACGACACTGGGAAGAAAGATAACTCAATCAAAAATGACTCCATCTATGAACCAAAGTGTGTGTTAACAAAGGAAAAGCTGAAATGCATAGACACTCACCAGCAAGCTACCATTTTGTGCTAACTCTTAAAAGGGGGGGGTGGGGTGGGAAAGGCTGGAAGAATGGAAGGAAAACGCACCTCTCTTAATTTGTTTGTAAGGAGATTAATGAACTAATCTTGAATTTCACACATATGAAGGTCATGTTTAACAGAAGACAAAAACGAGTGGGAAGACCCTTTGCAAGAGGGCAACTTGCATTTGAGCAGAACATTTCCTTAACAATAAAAACAATCTTCCCCAACTGCAGTGCTCAGAGGAATTCATCGACCATCCCCCACTCTCCCCTAGTCCCCCATCAACCCCCCCCACACACATCCATTATCATATCAAAGCCTGGAGTTCAGAGCAAGTCTTCTCTTTCAAGAATGAGAGCGAGGCAGAGAGAGGGAGGAGGAGGAGAGGACAAGACCGAAGCAGCGGGGATAGACCCGAGCTCTGGCTGCTTTCATCCCTGCTGCTTGGCACTGAGAGAGAGCGAGAGAGAGAGAGAGAGAGCGCGCGAGCAAAGAGACAGAGAGTAGGTGAGTGGAAAAGAAAGACAGAAAGAGTCAGAGAGAAAGAGAGTAAAAAGTCAACGTGACTGAGAATGAGAATGTGAATGAGAAAGAGATGAAATCAGAGAGAGACAGAGAGAGAGAGACAGAGAGAGAGATAAAATGAGAGAGAGAGAGAGAGAGAGAGCTGATGATTGCTGTCATAGATGTACAAGCAGCTATAAAAGCAGAGTGCCTTGTTTAATTCACATTCCAGGGGCAGGGCCTAAAAGCAGTATGGGGTCTTGAAGGTGCACGAAACAGCCAGGTCAGGCATGGAGAACAACGAGCCAACAGGACTCCTGCTGAGTCCTATGGAGGTGTGAGGGTTGCTGCACACTCCAACTGTCTATATACTACAGTACATCAATCTATTACATATTACAGATATACTAAAATACCCCAGTATATATATCATAATACTCAGGCTTACATGCTTTAGTTATGCTACAGTACACAAGTCTCTTATATGCCACAATTACAATACAGAACATGAGTCCATATAAAATACAATACTCAGGCCTACATACTACTACTTCTATTACAGTACCCCAGCCTAAATAATACAACAGTCTGGTCGGTATGCCCGTTATTCCACATTACTCAGTCAATATAATACAACAGTCTGGCCCATATACCAGTTATTCTACAGTAACCCAGCCTATATAATACAACAGTCTGGCCTGTATACCAGTTATTTTACGGTAACCCAGCCTATATAATACAACAGTCTGTACTATATACCACAGTTGTACTACAATACTCCAACCTATATAATACAATACTACAGTAGTCCAGCCTATACACTGTTAGCTAGGGTCTAAAATTAAATTTAAACTTTCCACTTGTTTTAAAAATGTTAAATAAATTAAATTAAAAGCATTAAACAAAAATAAACAAAACAACAAAAAAGATACATAACTACAGTAAACAGCAAGTTTCTAAGCAAATGTTTCCTAAATTCACATGCAGGCAACTATCCTCAAAAGCTAATGGGGGTTGTATGAAGTCGTGAGACGGTTGTCTTCTCTATAAAATTTCCCACACCAGTGACACACAGTTGCAGTCCCTAAGCACGCAGTTTTCTTTGCTACTTTATATATACCATAATGTGATTATTAGCTTACAACACTACAAGGCATCCATATTTGGAGTGTTGGCTTGTCAGAAAAAGTCTGCCATCCATAGCAGACCATTCACTTACCTCATATGAGACATTCAGAATGACTGAGTTGCTAAAGTGCTGTCAAACATCTGCAAATATCCCGTACTAACCGAAATATAGTAGGACACCTGAATGGATATTTTCTATAGTCTAATATGCATTTTTCAGTGAACTGAATTGGAGGAATAATCCTTTTTTCTGACAGCACTTCAGTGTACTACAGTATTTTAGCATATAGACTACAGCACTTCAACCTACACACTACAGCACCTCAAGCTCTACAGCATTCCAACCAGTATATTACAACACTCCAGCCTACACACTACAATTATACTGCAACACTCTAGTCTATATACTACAGCGACCCAGCCTATAGACTACTGCACCTCAGCTTATACACTACAGTGCCTTACGCTACACTCTACATTACTCGAACCTATTTATTACAGTACCCCAGCATATATACTACAGCACTCTAACCTATATACTACATTACTACCATATATATAATACAGCACTCTGTTCCATATACTACGACACTATGGTCTATATACTACAGCAGTCTGACCTATTTTAACTATAGTACTCATTTTGCCCTATCGTATGAGAAAACGGCTGCATTTCACAACCAGTAATTCAGGCTTTCATTTGGTCATGACAAACATGCTACACAAAAGATTTTCTGCTCTCTATATGGTCTGTGTCACCCCTATAGGATCTTGTGCCTCGCTTTCAGTGCTGCATCTCTCCCAGGCCCACTCTCAGCTGGCAGACTAAATGTGAAAATCAAAGTGAATGACATTAGGTAAATAAGACAGCAGGTTGCCCTGGCAACAGGGACAACCCCCCTCACCCACCCCCTTTCCTCCAGCCGACCCGTTTCTTGCATCCAATTAGGGGGAAGTGAGGCCGGGTTATTGACAGATCGCCGTAAACTGTTGCCGGCTCAACATTTCTACACTGTATTTTTACATGGACATGCTTCATGGAGGACTGAAGTGGACTCTCATAAGGTACAACTGGGAAAAAAAAGACACTCCGGCTTCTACAGGCCTGGCTTCTAAAAGCTATTTATATTGTCTTTATGGTAGATAAGTACTTGGAGTCAAATGTTTCAGATAATCACAACATGATGGCTGGACGTCTTGCCTGGTAAGAGAAAGCAGAGGATTTTCCAGGCAGCTGAGTAAGGCACCACATGAGGATGAACGAGCTGACAGCTTACTGGACTAGGATCATCAATGTGGATGAAGACTAAGCTCGGGTGACGAGAGCATTCAATCAATGCAGAACATGCGACTCGGCTCATGTACAGCGAACAGCTCGATATTTCCAGTACTTCTATCCGACATACTCAACATCACCAGAATTCTGTATTCACTGTTATTAAACTATGACAAAAGTGGGACTTTTAGAAAACCTTAAGAGGTCACATTAGGACAAAAAGCACATTTAGACATCTGGTGAATCTTAAACCAAGTTTGGTTTTGTGGGGCCTAGTTGAGACAGAGTGCAGTGACACCTCCAGAAAACTTGCACAAAAATCTAGTAGAGTTGAAAAGAGCGAATAACTTACCAGTCTTCTCTTTGATCTCACACAGCACACTGAAGAGAGCAGGCTTCATTCTGTGACAGTTCAGGGCGTGTTTCCTGCAAGAAAGAGAAAGAGAGTGCGCACATCAGTACAACTCTGTTCAGACTCTGAAATCACTCCAGCACTATCCAAAAGAGGTTCATATGTTCACTGACAAAAAACTGCAACAAGCTTGTACTAAAGAAGTGACACACTTGGTGTGCAGGCATATAGTATTTGTATACTGCAACAATCAATAACAGTAGGTGAGAGTGTACTTTTACAATGTGTAAAGCTAAACTCAAAGCACTCAGATGCTATAATTTTGAAATTTAATGCAGCCGAACATCCAGCAGTTACGACTGCCAAGTTTCCTATTCTTAAAAAAATTGGTCAAAACACCACACAACATAATTTATTATTCAGTTCAAAGTCTCAAACCAGTCACAGTGTACAAGACATTACTGACATCACAAGACTTGAAAGCCAAATGCTTTTAAAGCTATCTCAGTTATAACCGATGCAGGGCGTGCTGTAGTAGTCCTTCAGCCTCTCTACAGCTAAATGAGTTAAATGAAGCATAGTGCTAATTTGTCTTCAGGGAAAAGCTGTTTAAGCACCATCTCCCCTCCAGTGCTCTTCCCACCTCCTCTTTACACCCTGAGAGTGGACTGTGCAGAGACGATAGAAAGCAACACAAGCAAACCCTTGTCTTTTTCTTCTAGCCCATCATTACGTGGCCTCCCATAAGCAAAATTCATATTGCTTAGGTTTATTAACGTGCCTGCTGTGGGAACCTTCGCTTACAATAGCAGCAAACAAATGAACCAGATGTTCCAGGAGCAATAATTCAACCCTTTACAATGCTCATTAATAGTCATGCAGTTGGCATGACTGAAAAAATAAAAAAATAAAAATAAGCTTTGGCCAATGCAAGTCATAAGAACAATGCATGCAAAAAAACAGTTTCTGATGAAACCCAAACTGTTTAACCCCTCACAAGCTTCAGCAAGATGTTACATTTCTACCTGCAGCCAGTTCTTCTTGAATCACTGATTATGCACAGTACAGGTTCCAGAGCTCAGTCTCATTATAAGGCTCATGCGCAGTAATTTTAAACAGTGCTATATTATAACGCATGACTCATTCCCTGTATTGTAACCTCTGGCTCAGAGACCGGATCAGCATCTTTTAGCATATACGTGTTCACGCTTACGCCAGTCACTTGTGAGAGAGCCAGTTATCACAAGGCTTGACAACCATAGACATGGATTATTATTCACTCTCTGTAAAATAGGGATTGTGTGACAGCTTTTCAGACAAAGATTATACCCCGCCAGACTAAAGGAATTTCAGGACTCTCTATTGACAGCATGGATTAATTCAGAATTTGGCCAGAATATTAGCCCAGCATGTCGTTTGATACTATGTTCATAGCCCAGCATGTCATCTGACACAATGTACAGGAAGTCCTCCACAAAACATGAGTTAATTAAGCTTATAGTCAGCTCTATTGTGTGCCATTTTCCTATTGAACATCTACTCTGGTTAACACAATCTAGTAAAATCCACTGTCTATTTAATGAATGACACAACCACTGATTAGTGAACAACTGTGATCAATTTAGAAGTGGGCGATATGGCAAAAATATACCACAGTAGGTTTAAGAAATATCCACGATACAGGATGTTACGTTCTTTATTTTTTCAGACTGATCTGATTAGGTGGAATTAAAAAAAAACAAAAAAAAAACAGTAGCAATATATTTTAAAAATACTATCAAAAACTGCAAATACAATGAAATTTACTTAATATTTAGCAAACTGTATTGCACTAAATCCACTTAAATGAGACAAAATTTACTCTCTTTATAATGTAACAGCTGAGCAGTGTTCTACAAGTACTGACAATATACACAATGTTTAGCAAAACATATTGTACTGTATTGTGACATGATTTATCACAACAAAGTTACATACTGACAAGGCACAAAACGTTAAAATGACTCTTCCTCGAAGTTGACCTATGGAGAAACAAACCAAAGACATTTCCTTTCTGGAAATAATGAGGCCTAAAGGGTTGAGGCATACGACTAACCCCTGATACTTTACCCTCAGATCAGCCTACAGCCTACAATGTATCACACACTGTTTTTCACTGAAACTAAACATCCTGATGTTCATAACTCCTACCACAAAGAAACTCTGTTTTTCCTACCGCTGGTTATAATGACTGAGCTCAAAGATAACAGTAGTAGCAACAGGCTGAAACATTACAGATGAAGTCAGACGGTAGGAAAAAAAATACTCATTCTTGAAGCCCTAAGCAATGTTATTTTTACTCACTTTTCGAAACAAATCTTCTGTATCTCAGTAACACAGGAAGGAATGTCCCTACTGAAGTAGGTCAAATGGTTTTGGTAATCACCTTTAACAATATTAACATGGGAGAACTAAAACGTGAAGGTTTTATTACCTAAACCGCTGAGGTAACATTAAAATTATCTTTTCATTTATTGCTTCTTGCAGTGCCAGCTAGAGTTACAGTGGCACTAATGCTGCCTTCTGAATCTTGGTCTCACAATGCGCCCTTGGAAATGCAGGCGATATGGCAAAAATACAGTACCACTATACTTGAAGACATTTTCACGACATGTATCAAAATACTTAGTATCCCAAAGTTTAATAAGACGGATAGAATGAGCTAACGGTGCTACACTTAAAAATGCTGAGAGTTGTATTTAACTTTTTAACTAATTATTATTTCTTTTTAATGAAACATGCAGTTGGTCAGTGTTCTTTAAGCACTGGCAATATCCACAGAGAATGATTTGGCAGATTGTGACAATTTTACACAATCCTATGAAACACTGTCATACTGACCATCCCTAGTTGAGCATACATGTCTCATAGTGGCGAAGTAAACCTATTTACTTAATTGCAAATACAGGCAAAATTCAATCAACACAACCCTGTTAAAACTCAACAGCCCTGCAATGAGTAGCTGGTCTATACATTTTCTCACATCCAAACAGTGACTTCAATATCTGAACACCTAAAACGATTAACCAAGTACTCAAGTACCCATCTGAGTTAAAATGTCTAATCCTACATAAAGGCAACCTCAAAACTCATGGAATAAACATATACAAAAAAAACCCTAACACTTAAACCAGGCCAATCAACAACAAATGAGTACCACAGAGAGTGAGTGTTTGGGTTTTCTGTCACTCAATACAGAGACTGAATGAGTAGTTGCCATTGGCATGGAAGGTATGAGCGGGGTGGGGGTGGGGGTGCACATGCAGTCCCATACTGACCTGTGCTGGAAGTTGAGCGGCAGGGCACCCCCTACTGTGCCCCCCCCAGCTGCCCCTCCCTCTGTGGGGTCACCTCTTCCGCCCCACTCGGTTGGTCCCTCCTCTTGCCAGCATCTGGACACAGGGCAACAAGGTGAAAGGTTGGGGGCAGCCAGCATGGACTGCACTGGCACTGCCTTCCACCGCCCCAGTAATACACCAACCCAACCCATCCATGCAATGGCTGTGTGAGGCCGAGGCCGAAGCCGAAGCCTCACGGTAAAGAGAATAACAGACTTGGAAGCATGTGATCGGCAGGTAGATGTATGTATTTTGACAACGCCTTGGCCATCTTTGGGTGCAAGATGGCGAGCTGAGCAAAACCCACAAAGAATCAAAAAGATGCTAAAAAAACAAAACAAAAAAAAACAAAAAAAGTGATGCATCAGCCTTGGGTCAGCCTCTATAAATTCAGTCCTAATGCTCACCTAACAACAGTGGAATCAGCAGTCAGTGCATCACAGATGAACATCTGGTGAAACTGTAAGTTCTGGTAATTCAACATTTTTTATTGTTTGATTTGTTTCTCAGAAATCAGCCAGTAAAAGGTCTGCTCTCTCTCACTATAGCACCATCAATTTGACAGAGCAAAAAAAATTCATGCAATAGGGCTCACATCCGGCCTGCTAAGCAGCACTTAGTACTGACCATTTATCAAGTCCAAGTCGCCTTTCTTGCTGTTGCAAGGTCAGACAAACCGTGACTAAAATCAGCATAAAAGGTTCAAACTTTTACCGGGGAGGAAGTCTACAGTATGACCAAGAAGCTTCGACCAAACATGATCTATGATTCAGTTAAAAGCCCCTTCTGCAAGTACACCACTGCTTGCACCTGATCACTCCCTTGCAGTGCTGTAATAACCAGAGAGTTAACGAAGTTTTAGAGGTAGGGCTTCACAGTAATGTTTGCCAGTTGTAGTCAGGACATATGGCAATGATTTCAGGCAATATTTCTCCCTTCTAAAACAGGCCCCTCTGAAGTTTTTTCTGTTGTTTCTATAACTGGTATAACAACCAACTTAAAAAAATTCCAATTGTGTTAAATGACTCCTACTCTTTCAGAAATTCACGGTGCTCCTGTTAAACTGTATAGCACTGCACAGATGTATTGTAATCTGAGTTAAAATAAATAAACGGTTTACTTACATCAAAATATGGCATTTATAATTTCTCTACTGCTCATTATAGCCTAGTGGCGGACAGTAAAAGACTAAACCAGATTTTTAATAGAACAAGCTGGCAAACGAAAAACCAAATTGAGCGCACCTCAATGCAGCATTTGCAAGTATAAGTATTTCAGATTTTATATTTATTGACAGTCCTTGTTCGAAGGTACAATAAGAAAGTATTGCATAAAATATTTTTCTTTTCCTTCAACGTAGGGCTGCCTAAACCCACTCCTGCAGATGCACCACTCATTCCAACACACCTGGCCCTAATATTCATTAAACTAATATTGATTAAGTGGATCAGATGAGTTAGATTAGGTTTGGAACTAAACTCTGCACAGCAGCAGATCTCCAGGAGCAGAGCTGGCCAGCCGTGCTTTGAAACATGGGTTGAATAAGATCACTGATATTTCTTTTGCTTTTCTATGTAAATTACAGGTTCCCTTCAGTATACCAACAGGGAAGGTTTGATAAGCCAAGTGTGGTTCACATAATCATTCTTAAAAGACCGAAGATGCATTAGCATGAACCATAAAACAACTCAACTGCAAACGAGAGACAGAAAGCAGTTATGTAGGTGATTTTGAGAGCAAGACATCATTTGAGTATCTAAAGCATGAACAGTGTTAGTGCTGCTTTGAAGAATTGGATGAGAAAACTTGACTACACAGCATAGTCCCAAAGGAACCCCGTTAAAGGCCACCAACCCTTTCACACATCTATCTTTGTGCTAGTGCTGGGCAATTATACCATTTTTACATGTATTGGTGTCATACTACAACAGTGACTTAGTCTTAGTGGTACTGACAGACAGTTAACTACACAGCATGTCATTAGCTGGGTGCTGTAGATTGTTCAAAACACACATAGACTAAATAAATAGGCCTAGCACGTTTCTGGAAATCTGGGGCGTATTCAATCGAAGATGTTATTCAACTGTCATGTCTGTTACCTGGCACCCGACCACACGTGCACAGCTAAAATGTAAACATGTAATCAAAATAATCATGGTAGTTAGCCAGACAGCTAGCTTTACTGATGTTAAAGAGGTCAAACAAAACTACAGCTCAATAACCTTGAAGTTAAGAATATTGTGACAGTGCTTCGTGCTGTTTATCAGAGCATCGCCGCTCCACAGTTTCAGTTTCCCAAATGCTTTAACTGACTGTGCTAACGTTATTCCTCCTAATAAACAGCAACACGTTCAAAACTGTCTCCTTGTTATTCCACGACACTGCTGTAATATTTTATCTGACCAGTTTTCATCAACATGAACAAACAAAGGTAATAAGAAGGGGGATGGTGGAGATTGTGTCTGCAGTGAATTTAAAATGTTGTTGGAAAAGAACCCTTATAAGTCAAAGCAATGTTTTGATGTAGATAAACGTAACATCATTATGCTAGTTACAGTGAACTATGCTGCCTCCCACCGCATAAAACGACAGAAATGGACAGTTAAAACAGAAGTTAAGACACCTCAGGGTTGTCATAAAGTTAAGACAGAATTTAGGAAATGTTTCTGTAATACTGTTAGGAGTTAGGATAAGATTATAAACTTCAGAACTGTTGTTCTGTAATAGCTTCTGTCCTAAATTCAGTCCTAACTAAAGTAGTCATAGTGTCAGTGATTTCAGAAGCTTCTGTAATAGCCCCTGGTTTCTGTCTGGTTAACTTATTGCAATTGGGTATTGTACAGGGTACCATTTGATACAAAACAGTCCAGTCAAAACCAGCTATGTAAGATTTTATCCTTTTAGCTCAGAGTAGTAGTACTCATGAAGCATGGGACCATTAACTTTCAAATTTTATTAGGAAAACATCATGACATTGAATTTTATCAATACTGCCCAGCACTATTTCCTACCAACACTCTTCAGAAAATCATGATTAGCTGGGTCAGGTGTGTTAGGATTACTAGAAGTGAACTGCTCAGGTAGATTGGTCTAAAAAGCAGGCTGAAAAAACATGGTGCTTTCATGCAGGAAATAAAAGTACCACCATTGACAGGGTTCAGGGAGGAAGCCTGCCCTCAGCTTGTACTGACTGTTACAGCCAGACACACCACTACGCCAAAAAGTAAGTTCAAAACCCGCTTTTCATTTAACATGTTATTTCTTCTTTATTACTTCTGAGTGGAAACAAAGGTCACGCCAGTTGGATACGGACAATCGGGACCCTTTCCAATTTCATCTGTGTGGTACTGGCATTTTAAACAAAACGCACCAGATCTGCCGCACTGCAATTTCTGCAACAGTGCTAAAGCTCCAGAACATTTGAAAAGCCTACAAACAACAAGACAAGCTAGGGCGCTGTGATGGTCAATCACTCTTACTGAATGTTTGGAGCCGACTTCAAGAGATCATAAAATACATTAACTCAAAAGGCTGGAGCACAACCACTGCAAACATATAATCTAAGAAGAGACCGAGTTATTTTTTCCTTAGCCTTGTTATGCTTCACATAAGAATACTCAGGTAATCCTTTTCTTAGGGTGAGGTAATAATTTGGGGGGAAAAAAAGAAATCTAATTTACACATTTTTTCTCTTACCCCAAATGTCAATATCTGTATGAATGGGTTGAGAGGAATTTTGAGGATGCATTTATGGAAAGGATTTGGGTGACAATTGACTTCTAGTGTTTGCTAGCAATGTTAGCCTAACAGCTCCAGCTCTGAACTAAATAAGCAAAATCAGGACTCCAAACATGTCTTGGCTGACCAGCTACAACAAGAGTAAGTGGAAAAATGTGAAATTTTTGCTGAACTACGTCCTTTTCATTTCCGTGTCTTAGTAGGAGTTAAAAAGGCTAAGTAACCTTGGGCCAAGAAAAATAACGCAGCCTAGGAATATTTTTTAGAGAAACAATCTTCAAAATGACAAAAGTGAAAAAGTGACACAAAATCAGAACAAGACAATGGGCATCTACAGGACACGACCTGGTTAAAAAAAAAGCCCTTTAACTTGTAATCCACTCGTAAAAAGCAATTTTCCTTGCGTTCATAAACTGCCCGTGTAACCCCCTCCCCAATCTCATTAATAGAAACTCGATTTGCGGACAGCTGCACTCGCGTACACATTATAGGAGAATTGATTGCGCCCTGCACACAATGAAAAGGATGAACACCAGGGAGGGAGGGAGGGATGGATGGAGGGATGAGGGGGGGTGAAAGAAGTGAATTAATTAAGAGAACCAGGTGGTCAAGTGGTTTGGTGGAAAATCACGAGCTAATGACACATCGCAGAGCAGTCCACAATCCTCCATCAAAAAGCATGGAGGGTGTAGACACAGAGTTTTCTGTGCTGTTAACCTTCGCAGGGAACCAAGAAGCCTCCCTTAGTCGCGAATGGCTCATGAGAACATGCTCACATACGAGGAGAGATCGATTAAACCACAGTCGATATGTACAGGCTTCCGTGCTGAAACCCTTTCAAATGAAGAGCCACGCTTTTGAGGCCTGCACCTCAGCCACGAAGCAGCCCAACAAACCCTCGACGGCGATGGCTTAATTAAGAGCTGCCTGATTAGCTATGCTAATGACGAGGGAGCAGATTAATCACATTCATTTATCTACCGGGGCTCACGGTTTGGTCGGCCAAACGGCTTTTCCAGGGCATGTGTGCTCCTCACAAACACATCAGCACTTCAATGGATGATACTTTTCCACATTTCTGCTGAGGAATTAAATAGTTTCCGAGAAAGAAGGTTAATCAGTGGAGATTACCCCACTTTACCCTTCCATAGTCCGCTATTTTCAGTCGGGTGAAAACTGTGCAAACTACAGGGCTTCATAAAAAGCATAGTCGTGGTTTAAGCATAACAAAACAACCTCAACAGCAGGCAGCTGAGCACGTCAAGTTCTTTGTGATTTATACAAGGGATAGAGAAAAAGCAGTCACTTATATAGGCTGACAAAAACTTGCAATGAGAAACGTGAGGACAGCTAACCACGTGAATGCATGCTTAAAGGGAAACTCGACCGACTTTGCTAAACTTCTGCATGATTAAAATGGTTAACATGTCAACAGAGCCATTTAGACTGGTTTGGTGTGAAATGCTCTGTTCTAGAGAAACTTGCAGAGTCAGAACTGTTCACAGTGGTGTTGATGGGAACCAGACGTCCACCTCTAAAATCTTCCTCACAGAAAGTTTTTACATGAAATGGTTATAAATACCCTGCCTGATGACTGAGACATTGTTTTATAGTAGTTGTGGGAAACGTTTTGGTCTAAATGCATTCTAATCAATATATTTTAATCTATTCATGGTGGAGGGATACATGAATGCAAAATAGTCTGGAAAGAAAACCTATTTTTTCAGATTGACCATTATTTTACCATCATCAACATCATACGTTTAAACTCAGAAGACGCGTGTAGGTTCACTGGTGGGTTTGGGTGGTAAATAAAACGGCTGTATTTGTGCTGTAAACATTGAGGTTCCCATTACCACCACTGTAAAGAAAATCTGTGTTGGTCAGTTTATCAACAAATCAATTATTTCACGTCAAATCACTCTGAATGACTTTCTCAACCGCTGAATTATGGAGATTTTTTTTGAAAATCGGTGGAATTCCCCTTTAATGAAAAAGTCTCCAGTAATATGAAACTAATGTGTAAGATTATACTTTATAGATTAGTTTAAGGGGTTAAAAGAACTTTTTCCCATTGAAGACGCGTTTAGCGTATATGTACAGTGAAGATCTGACCTAAAAACACATTATAAGTAGTACTCGGCCTAAGCAAAACAGCATCGCCTCATACAACACGGACGAGCCGCACGCCTGCCTCCTAAAGCCAACAGGCTAATAAATGTGTTTCCTCTCCTCACCGTGCTTGCGCCTCGTCCAGGCTCTCGTCCGTGATGGCCATGATCTGCTGGAGGATGTCCCCTATGTCCTGCTGCGGCTGACCGAGAGCCTGCTGCTTCCTGGCGGAGTCCGGGTCGCCCACGTCGGCCTGGGATAGGGCGCCGAGTCCCCCGCCTAGACCAAGCATGCGGGTCTGATCGTCCATGCTTTCTTCAGAGAGACCTCGCAAAAAATTTGCAATGGAGTTTAGCTAAGTGCCCGGGTCCGTGATCATGTACCAAGTCCCACGAAAAAAATGTACGACTGACGATCCTAAGGTGGATTAAAAGGCACATGCAGTTCCTTCACGCTCGGAGAAAATTGTTAGGTAGCAGAGAGTGAAAACTGCTGCGGGCGCGGGCATGGAGGATGACCGCAAAACACTGAGGAGCCGAGAAGAAGGAGGAAAAATGCGACCACATGCACCAACTGAAGGAAAAAAAACCCCACTCGCACACACAAGGGGTCGTGCTCGAAAATGAACGCACAAGAAAAGAAAGCTTCAAGAGAGGCTACGAAGCACGAAGACTTGAAAACACAAGTAACGTAAATGAATAGAGATTAAAAAAGCGTACAGCCTCGGCTACATTAAGAACTCCCAACACAAGATCTCACAAAGTGTCTCATCAAAAACTGTTAGCCCCGAGTCCGCTGGGCAGATTAGCGCCAATTTTAAAATAAATAAATCGCGAATACGTAAAAAATAACACTCTCGTCTGGTTCTTGTATCACAGGTAAACACTGGGTAAAAGTCGACGACGATGGTAACACAACTGGTGGAGTAAACCAACCATAAAGGCTCGTTAAGCTAATTAAAAAAACAGCTTTTGTACACCACAAAGCTGACTGTACTGTCCGCGGACTTTCTGTAAACGTGTCGTCGACAAACAGTTCTTTTAAATACTGCCAAGTCGAGACGGAAGACTAACGTTAGGTCGGAGGAAAAACTGACAATGTCACAGTTTTTAGTGTGATTTAACGCACTTTCAGCTTCGCTGAAAGAAGAAAATGTCTCGCTCGCTCGGACTTGGCTAGCTACCTTTCTTTTCCTTCTTCGGCGGCGAGGCCAGCTAGCATTTCTTTCTAGCCGAGCTTAGCAACAGCAGCTAGCCAAGCAAGCTAACGTTAACGGCTCTGTGCGCGAGAACGGAGCGGCTGCAGACTCTTACTCGGCAAAACGCAGGCAAATCGGAGCGAAGACTATACAGACGCTGCTAAAACGCCGCATTCGCTGTTCAGAGTGAAAACGCTCGGCTCCATCCCAGCCAACCCGACCGCTGGCTCCTTAATTTCGCCCCCGAAGCCCCCTGCTTTTCTCTCAGCCCCCTCTCTCTGTGGGTCTCTCCCTCGGCTCCTTCTTGCTGCTCTTAAATCGCACCGCTGTAGCGGCCACACTAGCCGCTACGTCATCGGCCCAGGAGGAGGGTGCAGTACAGGCTCGAACCACAGGGGGCGCGCTGGGGTACTGAGTGAGTATCTTGTACATTGTCTCAAAAGAAATCAAATAGGAAGAAAAATAAATGTTAAATATTAAATAAGCCTATATAAATAAATACATTTAATAAATAGATTGCACATCACAACTAAAATGTCAAGTAATTTGATACCAGCTGTATTTGATGCATCACTATAAAGTACTATTTTACGTGCTTATAGGTATTCATTACTTTATGCTTAGACATTAAGTTTGCTCACTTAAGTGATTTGCATTTGATATTAGATATCAGGGGGAAAAAAACATGGTACACAAACTCAATGCATAAGAAACAGCACAGCATAACAGCAGTAACCACCAGTGCTTACAACTGAGCAAAAGTTAAACTATATATATATTTAGAGAGAGAGAGAGAGATAGATAGATGGATGGATGGATGGATGGATGGATGGATGGATAGATAGATAGATAGATAGATAGATAGATAGATAGACTTTGTCATTGCTCAGTTCAAGTACAAGGCCACCAGAAGTGCAAATACAGAAGATACATTTCTCAGTATAATTCTGGCAGCATTAATGAAACATCCCAAAGCTAAGCCAATTTGCACCCTCATAAGCCTGTGTAGTAGGACAGTCCTGTCCCACAGGACAGACAATATGCTACGGGATGGACTTTATACTCCTCAGTCATCCCAGTCACTTGGGCCCAAAAGAGAGAGACCCACAAACAGTCCCACATTAGATGCAAAGCCCTCATTCTTTGCTTTGTATTAGGCCCATTTTGTGAAGTCTCACTTGAGCCCAGCAATACTTATGGAATATTTAATAAAGTATAGGTTGCTAATTTAATATCCCTTACTGGCCACCCAGCGTTAAGGACACTACTCCCCAATAGCTCTACATTTGTCTGGTTTTATGTACCAAAAACGGTCATTATTCATTTTTATATGACCATTTTCCAATCTCTTTAAATTAAAGTGTATTTTTGTTGCCTTATTTTTGGACTGATATATGTAAACAATCTCTGTTCTGATTGGCTGCCCTGAATTGTGCCTCATTCAAAAAGCAGCCCAGACTGAAACACTGCAGCATGAATGGGCAGAGCTAAACTGTTGAACGGGCAAGTATTTGTAAATGTATTGATTTTGTGGCATCACTGAAACAATTCAAAATGGGCTAATTCCATATATGGGCTGTAAAGACTGTGGAGTGAGTGGTACATTTAGAAACGCTGACAGTGTTTACATACTACATCAAACTTTTATTTAAAAAAAAGGTGAGGAACATTCAGTTTGTCATCTCATGGGCCCTTTAAATTATCACTTTTTCCCAGATACAGTGCTCACCGCCATTGTGTGAAATGCAGAAGAAAAATCTTTGCAATAAACCTTCATCCTTTTCTGAATTAAACCCAGTGGGGAACCCTCAGGGCCTTCTAGGGCTTCAGAAATGGCATAATGATTTCTGTGAAATCAACAAATGCATGCCTGTAACTTTTAGTCTAAAAACACCCAGAAAATGATCCAATCATGATTTTTCCTCTGTTGCATCTAGGCTGATGTAGCTAAGTGAGTTCTCCAATTGGTTAGGACTTCAGGAGCTGGACTGCTGCTTTTGGCTCCACATGAACACCCTTCAAGGTCAGATGATGACATTGAGTAGAAGTAAACTTTCAATGAATGAGTATGAAAGTTGTGACATCTATGCCATTTTCATCATGGTGGAGGAAAGAAGCAAACATTCAAGCAAACAAAGCAATCAACTATACAAACATAATAAATAGTAAATGTCAAGTGAATTATACACATGTACGGTTTATTCCATGTCCAGTTTAAATTTTATTTAAAAACAAACATAAAACAGTAAAATAGGCCAAAACTAATGCCAGCTAACTAACAAACTACAACACCCATTTCACAACCTCAGTGTACTGTTTATTTCTCACATAAAGCACATGAACATGAGTGCTGGGTGGATGAGTTGCTCCTCAGAGAAAACCACCGTCCCGCTTGCACTTAAAAGCAGCATCAGGAATCAGATTAAGCGCTAACATCATTAGGAAGTGACAATGGAATCAACCAATCACATTCTTATTTACAGTGGCTGGGACCCACTTTGTGAGGAAAAACTTCACTCTGGCCTTTTGAAAGTCCTAAACTGTAAACCAGAAAACGGTGAGTTTACTTTAAACCAGTTGCCTCATTTTTCCTTTAAGTTAAACCTACAGATTAGTCTTCTAAAACATCTTTGAGTAAAACTGATTTGCTGTAAAATAAGTAAACTCTCTTACAACTTTGTAGTAAAGTATATTTTACCGTTTACAGTGTATATATGTCCCTGATTGTGAGTACAAGTGGCAGCCTCACCAATATGTTTCAGTCAAATGTTTCAAATGGAAAACAGAAGCTCTGTGTCAGGACTGTATACAGTCATGCTACAAGGTAAAATGTGTTATTATGTCTGTTATAAACTTCAAATAAAACACAATGTAACAATAACAAGCTTCAAATGTCTGTTTAATGTAGAATGGCCAAAAAATGTTAACATGAATCAATATCAGTTAGCTTAGCACTAATATACTACTAGACTCCCACAGAGGCGGTAACAGAAATTAGCATTACCTTAGAGGTGTTTTTTCCTTGTTTTTTTTTTGACATTTATGGCCTGAACTGAAGGCTTAGCTCTAAAAGTCACTGTTAATAGTCAAAGCCCCTTTTCTTGTATGAATTCTTTTACCCCTGGAACAAACACTCAATCTCCAAATTTTTGTCAATTGTACTCAGGCCCTTTAATGTCTTTTTCAGTTTTAGAGGCAAATGTCCTTTGTCGCTCCTTTACTCCTGGCTCGATGCTGCAATCAAAAAAGTTGGAGCACATCTGAGACAACTTTAGTTTTTGAAATGAGTATGTTAGTACAAAGATGTGCTATGCATGACAGACAGACCACTGAAAAGCCTGTTTCTATACACTGCACTTCTCTAGATACTACATGACTCAAAATAGAAACAGGACTGTTTCAGCAAAATACAGTAATTTATGAAGAAACTAGTCCAAAATGTCCATCAGTTAGTTCTGCACTTTTATTTTTACACTTGTATCTTTAAGAAACATGTAGACCTGATTTTTTGTGGATACATCCACTCAACAAATTGTTCTCAGTTTGCCTGTTTACCTGAAGTACGTCATTTTTCCAACATCTCTCTCCTAATTGTCCACCCTTAATTCAGGATTAGGGGATTAGGGAGATGATGAGTGTCATAATCTTAGAGATCTGATGGAATGTGCAACGCTCAGCACATTTTAGCAGATGAAAGCCCTTCAAGGAGAGTCATTCTGATTAAGAAAAGAATAATATGAGTGCAACGGTACGAATATCTTCACAGCAACTCAACCGAATAGATTAAGCTTACTCTTGGACTAAACTACAATGAACTACTCTGAAAATCCTGTTTGGTCCAGGGCTAATTTCAGTCTGAGTGCCAGACCTTTTTTTGCATTTCAGAACACTGTTAAATAATGAACTCTGACTTTTGTGACTTTTCATTTTGAAGTGTCAGGAAAAAAGCAGAAAACATAAAAACAGACAAATACTCAGAAGCCTCAACGGCCAGATGTATCACATCTGCCTTTGTTACAGCTTTTATTCTTTTAGGAGACTCACTTGTAGTTTCTCAAAGAAATCTGCCAGGATATTTTCCTCACTTCCAAATTCACTTTCCACAACCCAAGTAATCCCAAACACTTTCAATGCTGTTGATGTTAGGACTCTAGGGTGGTCAGTGCACTCATTTCTGAGTGTTCTGAGAACCAATGCAGCTTCTTTGTTACATTTGCTAAATGTTCTTCTCTCAATAATGGGTTCTTGACAGCTTTTCTTTCAGACCCATACAGTGTTAGAAAAAAAGGTTCTGTACAGGTACATTTTTCATTCATCAAGGTACAAACAATGTAAATGTTCCCTCAAAGGTACAACAGTGGTTTTAAGGTCCAACTGTGTGCCTTAAATAAGTTTTTCCTGTGAAAAGTACATATTTGTACCTTTTAATAACCGAATGTTTTAACACAGAACAGTAAAATAAAAGCCTGGAGATGAGACGGGGTGTGTGGAGTCAATATAACTTAGAAAATGTAATTTCAGTGGATTACGGTACAATTATGTTCCCTGACTAAAGGTACTGAGATGTACCCTTGAGGGTCCCATCCCAGTGACAAGAGGGGAACTGCCCCAGTGACAGTTTACTACCTTTATTTCTGTGAGTGTAGTGTTCAGTGTTTTCTCACAGTGGAAGGATGGACAGAACCACCTGTAGACTTTTTCAGAGCTGAAGCAAAAGTGGAGCTTGATTTTTGCTTCTCTTTCAAAGATGAAAGCTTTAAGTGCTGTTTATCAGATGGGTACAGTTTTGGTGGTCTACCGGGTCTTGCGTGGTTGTTAGGGCTTCCACATTCTCTTCTCTTCGCTTTCTATTCATTTTTTTAACTCCAGTTTTGGAAGCTGTTGTTTTATCACTTTGATTTACTCTTTTGCTATGCAAGTGTATTATTATCTTATATCTAATAATCTCATAAATATCTCCTGACAAATGAATAACTTGTACTTAATGGCTGTTTTGACTAGACGATAAGTAAATGAGGGTGGTCTCCGACTTTTGCACAGTACCGTATTACAATAAATCAACAGTCTGGCTCACCTAAACTCCATTATATGCTGTTGATTTCTCCGCACGTCACAGATAAACACATGGCAAGACTTTTTCATCAGGTGAGCTTGTATACAACTCCACCTAATAAAACCCCCCGATCCGTTATCTCGCGAGTGCACAGACAGCAAAGATTAAAAATAAGCAGAGCCCCATTTTTTTTCTGCAAACACGCACAGTTCTGGGATAGTTTATCACTCTGAAAAGAAAGACAGCCTTCTCAGACAAATGGTTGGAAGAGGCGGCGGAAGAAACGGCGGCAGCCCGGAACACGGCGCTTGAGGAG